CGGGGGCGGCGCAGGGGGCTGAGGCGGCCACGGCCGGGCTCGCAGGTCCCCGTCCTGGGTGCCACTCACCGTTGTCACCCCAGTCGGTGTTCCAGGAATTGGCCACCAGCCAGTAGGGGGTGCCGTCCTCCACCCCCCAGCCTAGGATGCGGATGGCGTGGCCGCCCATCATGTCCCCCGTGACGTGCTGGTACACTCCTGAGGAAGAGAAAGCAGGTCGGACCGAGACCAGGCCCCTGGCCCATGCCCACCGCAGGGCTTCCCTCCGGGCAGCAGGGATGGTGTTCCATCAAGGGCTCAGGGGTTCCCACCACACTGGGGAGTGTTAAAATGGGAAGCCCACAGAACGTGCTTGCTGGTTGGCTTTAAAGATGAAAATTCTCTAGCCGGGTTGCGGTGGCTCACGCCTTTAATCCCAGCACTTTGGGAAGCTGAGGTGAGAGGACTGCCTGAGCCCACGCGTTCGAAACCAACCTGGGCAACTAAGCCGGGCTCAGTGGCTCAGCCTGTCATCCCGCGCCTTCGGGAGGCTGAGGTGAGTGGATTGCCTGAGCCAGTGGGTTCGAGACCCGCCTGGGCAACTTGGTGAGACCTCATCTCTACAAAAAATAAAAAATGAGCCAGGCACGTAGCGCGCGCCTGTAGTTCCAGCTACTTGGCAGGCTGAGGCGGAAGGATCGCCAGAGCCCAGCAGGCCGAGGCTGCGGTGGCCGGGAGTGAGCCACTGCATTCCAGCCCGGGCGATGGAGCGAGACTCCAACTCAAAAAAATAATTAAATAAAAGTTCTCATAAATTCTAATTTATGAAACAAATTTAATGCCAAAGGACCAATTTATCTGTCACGCATACTGGGATTCCACGTCAGAAGTGGTGTGTCAGAAGGGCTACGTGGCTTAGAGTTCTAAAATAATAGTTCTAGGTACGCTGGGGAGAGGTGAGGGGGATGAGGAAGCCTGGCGGTGGCCGGCGTGGGCTGAGGGGGAGCTCACGCTCCGGAGAGGCTTGAGGGCCGGCCGTGGAGGCGCCACGGAAATGCATCTTTAATGATATGGGTGGGGATTGCACTAAGCGTTGCCATATTTGTTTTCTTGCCAGAATCGCCTTCCTTTTCCTGATCTGTTCTCTATCTACGGGTTGAGAGCTTTGGTGTTTCCAGCCTAGCAGGGTGCGAATGAGACAGAAGCGATCAGCAGAGACAGTCCGTCTGGAACAAGGGATTTCCGAGACGGCACTTGGGGACAGGGCTGCCCAGTTCCCTTCAGTCCCCCCAGCGTCACCCAGCACAAAGGTGTTCCTGTTTTCCCACGGGATGTTAGACCTGGTCTAGGCCTTTGCAAGGTCAAGGATGGGTAAAATATGACCCTTCTTCCAGACACAGAAGACTTGTAACATGTTATAATGTGAACAGCGAGTGAGGCTCTGGAGAGCCGTGGAGGCAAAGGCCGGAGTGACAGCAGCTGGGAAGGAGAAGGCTCCAGAGAAGATATGTGAGCTGGCTCTAAGGGATGAGAAGGAACTAGCCAAGCCAAACAAGAACATCTGCTGAGCAACAGACACCTCTGAAAAACAAAAACAAAAAACATCTGAGCGTCCACGTGCCCAGATGCAGATGGGAAGCCGGACAGGGGGCGGAGAGGTGCAACCCATCAGGAGCTGGCCGTCCTCCCCGGCCTCAGCCCTCCTGTCCCGATCGAGTCCCAGGGCCCCTGGGACCCACCGTCCGCACCCACCTGACTTGTACAGCAGGAAGTCTGAATACACAGAGAAGGCTCCTTCCACGGGGCCGTTTTTGTAGATCTCAGCCATGATCTCCTTCTCCATATTGGAGACGCTGTAGGAATTGTATCCTAAAAAATGAATGGAGGTGGGGGGCAGACGGTGAGTGGGCCTCCGGCAGTGCCACCATCAGCCAGTCACTCACTCACGGTGGACCCCCAGGGACGACTATGCAGCTGGACCCCCCAGGGGGCTCGAGGAAGGCTTCCTGAGGAAGTGCAGACTAAGCTGGGTCTGGAAGCTACGCAGAAGCAAGAAAGGAAAGGAAGGGACTGGGTGTGGCGGCTCACACCTGTAATCCCAGTGCTTTGGGAGGCTGAGGCAGGAGGATCACTTGAGGCCAGGAGTCAGAAACCAGCCTGAGCAACACAGTGAGACCCAGACTCTCCAAAAACTTGTTGAGATGAGTCTGGCGTGGAGGTGCACACCTGGAGTCTCAACTACTCAGGAGGCTGATGTGAGAAGCTCACTGGAGCCGAGGAGCTCAAGGCTGCAATGAGCCATGATACTCTGCGCTCCAGCCTGAGCAACAGAGCAAGACCCCAACGAGATTAGAATAATAAATGCACAAGAATCAAAATAAGATAAAACAGGAAGGGAACGGTGCCCAGGAAGAGGCCAGGGGCACCCCAGATCCCAGGACTTGTCACTTCCTCGTAAAAGGAAGGGTTTGGGGTCCCTTACACTTGGGAGGCTTGAGGGCGAATTCAGGGTGGAACCAGCAGAAAGGGAGGTGTGCTGTCCCCTCTGGCAAGACGGGCAGGCATGCCCCTTGCTCCCTGCATCCAGGGGCTTTTGGACCCCAAGCCTCCATAGCCCTGGCCGCCTCCTCCCTGGGGCACGAGGAAGGATGCGAGCAGCCCTGGCCTCACCGCCTCACCGTAGTGCTTGTCCTCCTTGTAGGTCGGGCTGTAGCCGGGCTCGCAGGTCTTGCTGCACTTGGGGGTGTCTCCCTCCCCCGTGCACGGGGGCCGTGAGCCGTTGACATGGTGCTCACAGGGAGGGATGGAGTATGGTCTGCAGCCTGGTGGGACCCGGGAGAGAGGGGGGGTCAGCCCGGGTGTGGGCAGACGCTGCCCAAGGCCTGGCGTGCCTGTGCCCGTCTTTCAGCTGGGCCTCTGCCCTCAGACCCCGCCTCATAAAGGAAAAGAAAGCGTTTTGACTCGTGGCTTACAAAGTTCCTCTGGCCAGACGGGGCTGAGGGCACACACTCACCCACGTGGGAGTCGTAGAGGCCACCAGAAACCAGGCCTTTTCTCGTCCAGAAGCTCCAGGCCTCGGCAGGATAGCCGCCATTACAGCTAGAAAGCAAGCCCATCATGAAATCCAGTGCGAGGGACACCATGAAATCTAGCTGCTCTCTCGACTGGGGCCCGGTCCCCAAACGGCCAAGGCTGCCCCTGGATCCGCCGCTGCCTTCGGCGGCGGGCACAACGGCCCCCCAGATCCCAAAACCCCCCACGCGTCGTCCCCCGATACACACAGGGAGTTGCCCACACCCACCCGAGAAGACACGGCTCTCACGTTTGTGTCTACACCCATCGAGGCCCCATGTGCCCTTCTTTCCAGAACAGGGATCCACAGCTGAGCAGCACATCAGAACTTCCCAAGTGCTTACAAAAACCCACCCACGCCAGTGATTCTGATCTAGCTGGTTCGGGGGAGGCCCAGGGGCACTTTTTTCAAAGCTCCCAGGAACGCAGAACAGAGGCCAGGCTCCAGTGCTGGCTGGCACCCGAGGCAGGGATTTCACTCTGTGCCCTCAACCTGAGGCCCCTGAATCCCTCGTTACAGGCAGGGAAACAGGCCCCGAGCCGATTACAGTTCCCTGAGTGGGAGCAGGGAACCAGCAATGACAAAAACCACACTGGGCGTCAAAAGTTGAACCACTTTTCTGAGTTTGGGCACCTCCCTGGCAGCAGCCATGCCAGGTCCCGCTTCCAGCCTCCCCGGGTCTCCCTGAAACACCTTCTGACTCCAAAGAGGCCCAGGCACCCCTCTGAGTCGCCCTCCCGAGGAGGCGGCGGCCCAGGGCCTCCCGGCACCACACCTGCAAGGGGCGAGGCCCGACTCACCCGTCCCCGCACAGGCCACCGCAGCAGGTGAGCATGTCCTCTGCAGACACCTCCACGTTGACGTGCCCGTTGGTGTGGATGCAGATTCTGTCAGAGATGGCTTCCACAGCCCCGAAGGCCTGTAGGAACGAGCCCACCCAGGTGAGGAGGCCGCTGCACCCCAGCCGCCCCCTTGGAGAGCCACAGGGGACACCTCAGACCTTCTGGGAGGCAGGTCTCTCTCAACATCAGGTGAGGCTCTGGACTTAGAAAGCCCCCACCCTGAAACTTGCTACCCGGGAACTCTGCTCATTTTTGAAATATGTAGTTCTAGTTTGTTTGGGGTTTTTTTTGTTGTTGTTTGTTTTTTTTTTGAGTTGGAGTCTCACTCTGTCACCCAGGCTGGAGGGCAGTAGCATGCTCCTGGCCACCACAGCCTCGACCTGCTGGGCTCCAGTGATCCTTCCACCTCAGCCTTCCAAGTAGCCAAAACTACAGGCGTGTACTACCATGCCCGACTAAGTTTTGATTTTTTTGTAGAGATGAGGTCTGGCCAAGTTGCCCGGGAGGGTCTCGAACCCATGGGCTCAGGCAATCCACTCGCCTCGGCCTCCCAAAGTGCTGGGGTCATAGGCTTGAGCCACCATGCCCGGCCAGTTTGTTTGGTTTTACACATAACACATCTTACTCAGAAGAGAAATGCTGTGGGAGTCCACTGCCACGGGGTCCCTAGGAGAGTCAAGTTCATAGACAGAAAGCAAGATGGGGGTTGCCAGGGCCTGGGGGAAGGGCCCAGGGAGATCGCATCCGTGGGGATGGAGTTTCAGTTCTGCGAGATGCTGAGAGTTCTACAGATGGATGGGGCGATGTTGCACACTAAGAAATCACTCAGCGTCGTGGCACTTTACGCTTCTCAACGGCTAAGGTGGTTAGGTGTTCTGCTGTACTCTGCCACATTGAAAAACAAAACGAAGACGGCTCATGGACACAGACGGGCACTTTTTTTTTTTTTTGAGTTGGAGTCTCACTCGGTCGCCCAGTCTGGAGTGCAGTGGCCGCTCCTGGCCACCGCAACCTTGCCTGCTGGGCTCTGGCGATCCTTCCGCCTCAGTCTTCCGAGTAGCCGGAATTACAGGCATGCACTACTGCGCCCGGCTGATTTTTTGATTTATTGTACAGATGAATCAGGCGGGTCTCGAACCCGCGGGCTCAGGCAATCCACTCACCTCAGCCTCCCAAAGGCGCGGGATTACAGGCTGAGCCACCGAGCCCGGCTAGGCGGGCACTTTCATGGAGCAGAGCAGTGGTCAGGGTGACGGCTATTTACTGACAGGACAGCGTGTCCAGGAAAGGAGGCAGGTCCTCCACCACACACGGGCGACTACCAAGCGGCGGGACGCCCTGCACATGCGTCACGCTGCCCAGAACTCTCAGCAACTCACGACCACGGGGACCGTTATCATTTTCATATTGATGGAAAACCAGGACCCAGAGGGCATGTAACTCGCCTTGTCACGGCGGGGGCCACTCCAAGGACCCTGATCACGCCCTCCCCCCCACTGCACCCCCAGAAGGGCCTTACCC